ATCAATCAAAGGGTTTTTCAACATTAAAACTACCTTTTCTGATGGATTTTTGACGTGCATCCGTAGTTCTACATTATAAAGTTGCATCCTTATATAAACTTTTTCCTTCTTGTAATACCATAAATTCTCAAGGAAAACTTACTAAGGAGAGGAACTTGCACGATGATCTAGATAGAATTCTTTAGTGACATTAAACATGCCAGTAACATATGATTTTCATACCATAAGCAATGTTCTCTTTGCTTGTCTAATTATATAAAGGACGTGGTTTTTATGCATCCAGCCCACGTATTGTAGAAATGCGGGGTTGGCAATAAATGTTTTTTTTAAATGTAATTTGATGTTAAAATTGAGAGAATATAAAATCTTTAACATGGAGATCATGAATACGGAAAAAAAAATTCAAAACTATACATAATAATTATATTAAGAAAACATTTGGACCGTTAGTTACACTTGTTTTTAGGTGGACCACCTATTTGTATCCATTTTTAAGATGGATGCTTTATACCTTTGGGCCGCATATTGTAGAAATGCGGACCAGCCCGCATGAAACAATTTTCCTAATATAAATGACACATAGCTATTGCAAAAACAAATCCTTAGTTTTGTCTTGTACCATCTCCTCATACAAGGGATATTGTTGTTGTGGTTCTCTTTTGACCTATTACTTCACTAGAATATTGAAACAAAGTTATTTACCATAACTTTAGATAATGCATCATAGATGCAATTATCCCAAAATCATCACTTGCCCTTAGTAGGCTACTGCATCCTCTTTATTTCTCACTAGCAGCAGGGTGCAAGGGGGCTGCACACTCTCTCTTAACATCACTTCACACTAGACTTTGTTTGCAGGGGTGTTTGCCTCAATCTTTTCTAGGGAAAAGTTTATATAGAGCTGAGGCTCTAAACAGTCAAATTGGAGCTGACCACAAAAGTTTCACTAGAAGATGTTGTTTTGATACCCAAATATCCTCAAGTTGATCATCTCAACATCAAGATGAGTGGACCTAAGAAAAAAATGGATTTCAAGTTTTGGAAATAGTGTATTTTGTAATGTATTTTTGAACCGTCAATTTTCAAGTTTTCATAGACTGTCGATCTACACTATTTTTTAAGCTTTAAACTTCATAAATAAAAATGAAAATATATTTTAAGGCTATCACAAAGATTTCCAGTATTGAAACCACATTTCTCGATACTATTTGAAGGTAGGCTCTAATTTGATTGTTTAGAGCATGAGCTCCATAGTCTATACAAACCGCACCCCTACATAAAAGCCACTATTTTAATCCGATGAGTTTGTTCTTTTGCTACATGTACTTGTTCGCTACCAAAAGTGATCTCTCGTATTATTCATGAAACTCTTAAATATGTTGAAGCAATTTGATATTGAGAATGTTGTTCACCACATCTCGAACTATTCAATTTGGATTCAGTAATGTTGTGACTATTGTTTGGGGAATATTTGCTATATTTGTATGTATTTTCATTGCCTATTGTGAGGTTATTATTTAGGGCCCCCATACTCTATTATATGACTTTTCAGTTTAATAGGGGTGCAAAATAGTGTTTGTTGGACCTGTGGGTTGGGTTGGGCCCCTTTTGTAGGGCCTATGGGCTTGGGCTAGGCCAATCCTGAATGTAGAAATCATTAGATTAACATGGTGAGCCTGGGTTTGTCTAGGCCTTGCCTGCTCCCACCCCCATATGTAACTTTAATTTACTTTAAAAAACCTTGTCATTCATAATCATTTTAAAACTTTCCCTTAAAAAAAAAAAAGAGGCAATTCAAGATAGAGTGTGACTCTTTGAAGGAGTCGTTTACCTTCTTTTTTTTTTTTGACACTTATTCTTAAAACCCCACTTTATATTTTAAATCAATGACTTCCATTGCTAATAGAAGTAACCAAACCCTAATTATACATTGTATTTAGTTATAACTAAAATATGGGAGAATCTCAGCAGAAACCCTTTCTGATCTTTGCTTTTAAGTAAAGAATTAAATCTCAGATAATGTCGAAGTACGGTCAAAGACTGATTTCAAAAGATCAACCATCTCTAAGAACCGCCAGCAACATCGGTGTAAAATCACACAAAAACTCAAGGAAAGAAACTGAGAAACAAGAAAACAAAATAAAAAACCTAAAATCAATTGAAACTAAACTAAAGAAAAGATAGAAAGTTTACTTAAACCTTGGCTCGAGACATTTGAAACTCGAAGTCAAGGCTCGTATCAAGACGACAAAACCTAGAAATCGATCACTGATCCAAAGATTTGCACCTTTGTGCCTTAAATTTCCCTTAAGAGAATTTTCTTGGAATAAGTTTTCTCTGAATTGAAGATTTTTAGAGAGTTTTGGTGGAAACTTTGAGGAGATTTGCCATAGCGTTTTTAAACTACGGTTTCTAGGGATTCCTAGCTTCTAGAGTTTATTGTAACCTAAAGGGTTTCCCAGGAATTTTTAATTTTTTCTTATGAGTTTCAGATGATGAATTATGGGCGGCTAGAGGAGTTCATATAGGCTTCAATTTGGGGCACTAATCTTACTAGGATTAAAGCCCTAAGTTTGTCTTTGAAATTCTAATTCTATTACGATTAGGTTTGATGGGGTTATGGATTGGGTCAAATTCGGAGCCAAACAGGATCTAGAAGTGTGTAGAATATTTGACCAAGACCAAAAATCCTTAGAAATTCTATAATTTTGCAAAAAAAATTAGGATAGTGATGCGATATGCATTGCTAATTCCGATTTTCCCCTAGATCATTCTGGATTCCCCATTGAATCCAATTCTTGCAATTTATGTTTTCTGAGCATCTTTATACTATTTTGGATGAATATGGATCAACCAGGATATCCCTATAGAAAGATGAAAAGATGTTACATTGGTTTCTTTAATTTAGTATTTTTTTAGGGATTGTGGATTATAGACTATGGTGCATTAAGATTCACTGGATTAAAATTCATATGGTTCAAGGTTACAAACTCTGGGGATTTCCTTGGTGAAATTTTTTTAGGGGGGTGTCTGTAGTCTTTCCATTTGACTATGTCTAAATAAAAGGAACAGTATACTATAATTGGTGTATGTATAACATAATTTAGGAATGATAGGGATCATGCGTGATCAATTTTAGATGAGTATCGTAATGTGATGTTTAGAGTTCCATTCATATATAATATATAGCAAAAAAATCAAAAAATAAAAAACTATACAATAAGACAATTTACTAGTTATAAGAAACTTACAATTGTAGAAAATTTACTTCGTACAAGAAAGCCACACTTACTTTTGGTCATTACATATTAAATTTCCCTTTTTTTTGCTAAGAATAATATAAAGAAATATAGAGTGTGTTATGGAACTTTGTGACACAACTTAGGTTGTTGAATTTCATATCCAACCGTTACCATTCTTATAAGGTAAATTGATATTTAGAACAAAGAAAAGAGTGTAAATAGAACAATGTACTCAATGCAAGTTTACAAATTGCAAAAAATTTATTAGGTACATGGTGGCCATGATTACTTTTAGCTGTTAGATATTAAATACGACAGCCAAGAATAATGCAATCAAGTAGAATGTGTTATTTGGCAATATTTAAAATCCAATTTTTTTTTTTCTTGAACTGTTAAATCATTCGATTTGGTATATGGCTGTAAGAGCGATTGTAACTTTGTACCAAATGTAAATGGTCTATGTGTATGAACCCTTTTTTTTTTAGAAACTTTTTTTTGCTAAGCTTCTAAGTTGTTTAGGGATATCCATTGTATACAAGCCTAAGGTCATAATGCCACCATTAATTAGTGTTTCAAAACCCCGATCGGTGGGCAGATTGTTCACTCGTAGACCTATATCTTATCGTTGAATTGGCAATAAGATCAGGTCTAGATTGGTGCAAATCAGAGATCCAAAATGTTAAAGACATAAATTAAAATACAAATTTATGGGGTGGGGATATAAAGAGGGGAAGGTTTTCCATACTCCCCCTAATGTATGATTGTTATGTACTTCCCCTTACCTATCAGTCAGATCCGAATGAACGCTTCAGATGGATCCAATTACAGTGTCATATTTCTACATTATTTTATTTTCAATTTTATTTTTTAGAAAACATTTTGACACTAAATTTTGGGTGCCCACTCCTCTCTTAAACTTACACATTCAAAAACTATAAATAACTATTCTCGACAAAATAAATTGATCAAAATACCCCTGAAAGTTTTACAAGTATTTTGATCATTTTATTTAATTATAAATGTTGTTTTAGATGTGGCCTATTGAGATTCCGGCACTTACCAAATTTCATATCCATACAATTTGTAGAATAAATACTAAACAAGAAATACTATGAGGCGTCGGATCTAGATTAAATGGTCAATGACTTATTTGATCTAAATTTGAAGGATGGATGGAGGAGTATAGAACTTCTATATAGCAGGGAAGTATAGAAACCTTTTCCTATATAGAATCTAAAAAAATATCGAATAAACTTAAAAACAACATAAACAAATAAGGTAATTTTAAATGGGACCAAGCTAGGATCCATATCATTCCCGAATTGATTCGATCCTGACCAATTTCCATCCAATTGACAATCCCAATTGGATATCACTTGATTTTAAGGAAAAACATAGAATGAAAGCATTTATTTTTAGTACAAGGTATCGTTGACCATTGGATGCGAAATTGAGTGGCCGCATTTATTCTATTAACCAAGTTCAAAATTCAAAAAAAAATTTCTCGAGCTATCAGATGTTATACTCAACATTTATAAGTAATGCGATCACAAAGATAAATAGTTACATTGTATAAAATCTTTGATTTTAAAACTGTGCTATAATTATCTTTGATTTTGTATAGTCTCATTATACAAATCAGGATATACATGGGCAACGTACGAAATACGTGCATCTCATACACACGTGCACGCTTTGCCCATTGTTTTAGGGTTGGAAAGTCTTGGGATTTATCCCCCCCAACTTTTGCCCTTTATTTATTTCATATCTCCCCTTCATAACTTCTGGTTTTGATTCTCTTCTGAAGCTTCGCGGCGGAGATCTTACTTCTCTGCCCTAACTTTTTCTCTCTACCGCTCCTTTATCTCTCTCTCAGGTGATCTCTCCCTCAATCTCTTTCTCCTTTTTGATTCCTTTTCTGGGTGATCTCTCTCTCAATCTCTTTCTCCATTTTTATTCCTTATCTGTATCATCTAAGATGGGTAGTATCTAGATTTTATCTCACTAATTTTTCCGAAGGTTTCGACTCTATTGATGGATTTTACTTTTGCGAGTTGAATTTACTCCTCTGCCCTAGCTTTATCTCGCTATTGATCTTAGCTGTATTTATTGGAGGCATGGTTTATTTTCACTTGAGATCCCACCGATCAAATAATAGACCTGAAATAACTGATTAGATCGATTCTCTGATTTCAAGTTTAGTTTTTAATGCAATGGATCTCCTGTGAATAGACCCCTTTCTGGGGTATTGAATTAGGATTTTTTTTCTATTTGGACTAATTGGTGCAAGCTTTTTGATTGGTATCGAACTATTAAAGTGGTTCCAAAATTATTTATTTATTTTTTATTTGAAGAGACTTCTGCCTTTATTCTGGTTTGGATATTTGACTGAAATTAGGGTTTTGGATTGTTTTGAAATTAGGGTTTTGGGTATGATCCGATGTTTTGGCTATTTTTATGTTCGGTTTGTTTCGAGTTCATCAGAAAAATAATGTTCAATTTGTTTGGAGAGACAGGTTTTGTGCTTACAGGACCTAGGGTTTTACGTTTTTATTAATGAACTGATAGCAGATTTGAATTTATGGTATAAAGCGGATTGTGTTTCGTATTATCTTCTTTTGTAATATACTTTATGCTATAAGTGAATAAGAATTAGGGTTTCTGGTAGTATAATCAGTACTTTTTCCTTTCTCTTGTTGATAACTTCGATTGCTAATCTGGAGAGGAAATTAGGGCTTCTGGTGATTTTATGAATTTTTTGTTGTTAATTGCTTTGATTATTCTTTTTCCAGATTCTTATTAGAGATCAAGGTTTCAAAAAGCGCTAGGCCAAAATGATAGATTGTATTAGTAATAGTCTCCAACTCTCTTGGCAATACTTTTGATTCTCAGAAATAGGTATAGCTAAGAGTACCTATGTCTATGGTTCTCATGCTTTGCGGGTTTAAGTTTTTTATAGTTTTTTTTTTTATATTTCTAATGCTATAGTATCTGTATTTTTCTTTCCTCTCCCCCATCCCTCCGGGTCTCTCTCCCTCCTTCATCTCTTTCATCTCTTCCTTCATCTCTTAGTCTGAGCACCCAGGATGTGGGCTGCCTCTATCTTTCTTAAATAGTATGCAACTCCCCTTCTTTTTAAAACGTTGGCCGATTATCAAAAAAAAAAGAAATGAAATTGAGGGCTTATGGAAGAAAATAACCCCATATTTAAACCTTTTTTGGGGGTGGAAATTACCCCCTTTGCCCTTTTGGACATCTTTAAAAATTGAATAAGGAAAAAGGGCCCATGTTAGCTCAGAACTGGGTGTTGGGTGCCCACAGTACAGCTGTTCAGAATTCTCTCTGATGTATTCTGTTCTTGGAAAATCCAACTTCTATTATAGAACCGATGATTTGCAAATTTTTGGGCCTTTTTGGAACCTGTCTGTGTTTGTATTTGATTAGATTACCTAGCTCAGTTTGGATGAACTGATCCCAATATGAAACTTTCTGCAATATATTTAATTTTTGGATTTCTTGAGTGAGTTTGGAGTATTTGGTTACTGTTTTACTAAACTTATGCTGCAGCTAAATTACTCTTTCATTGAACTTTTGGGCCAGCACAATGTATGAATTTGTTGTTTATGATTTATGAAATATGATGCTGTTAACATAAGTAGGTCTCTATACAATGAAATCCCTCAACCTTTACCATGGTTGCCAATGTTTGTGGGAGGTCTATTGCCTAAGTAAACTTTGGCAGGAAAGTGTTTGAAATTATTGTTTTAAAAGTTGGTATTACAATGTCTTTGAAGCTTTTTCTTTAGATTCATAATGAGATATGTATTTAATTACTACATAATCAAATTATACTACTACAAAGTCATAAGGTCACATTCTGAGAGGACTGGTTGAATTATTTCCAAACTGTTATACTGTTCATCCATTGTAGAATATAATTTTATGTAGATAGTACAGGATGCTCATTTTATCCCACGATTTCTATTTTTCTTGCATGGTATAATCATTTAGGTTTTTTCTTGAAATGTTTAGGCGACCGCATTGTTTTGTTTATCGAGGTTATCATAGTTTAGCTCCGTCTTTTCTGCTCATTTGATTTTGAAGGTTACTTAGTGGGTGGTCCTTTGGATCGTTTTTGGGATACAAGATACCTTCTTTATTTATGATACATACAATGATTCTACCTTTTATGTCCATTTTTTTGAAAGCTTTTCTATTGCTATCTCATTATTTTTTAAAATATTTGTATTCACTCTCTTATCATTTACCTTTTTGTACTATTTCTATGAATCTATATACAAGTGAACTCTTAGAAAAATTATATGTATCTTTGCCTTGTCATACACAATGAATAAAAAAATTATATATATCTTTGCCTAGTCATACACATGATATTTCATTGTGATCTGTCATGGAAAGTTCTTCTATTTGCTCTTATTTGCCAGTTATACTAGTTGTTTTATTACTTCTTGTATGGGGAATTAGCTTCCTAATCACTACAGAAGAATTTGTATTTTAATAAAATCCTCAAATGTTGGAGATTATCTGGATATAAATAAGTTATTATGCATGATGAAATCTCTGTTCACTGTCTGCACTATACTATGCAGTCAATCAGGTTCCATTTTTAGGTGTCAAAGGGTCACTATTATTTGATGAACTGATCTTTGTATTTGCATGTAGGAAGTTGCTTGTGTATGCATAATTGTGGGTGTTTGAAGTCTAGATGGGGATTTGTTACACATTTGGGGAGTATAATAATATTCATGAATTAGACAAGGAGTTGGTTCTTTTATGAATGCGTAACATAAATAACATGATGGGCATATTAATTATTCATGTGTAAATATTTGAAAAAATATATATATTCATGTATAGGCACTTAGAAACTCTATGATTCAGTAGAAGAGCAGAATCGAATGAAAAATGTAGTTAGAAGTATTGTTTCTCATTCCATCATCGGGTGCAGCTGTCTTCGCCCTGGAAACAGCGAGGATAGTAAACATAGGAATAGTCAGAAGTTTTACTGGAAATGACATTGCTAAAATTGGTGGAAGTGAAAACATAATGTTAAGAAGCAGGAATGTTCTTTGTAGAATGATTTAGAGCGCGGCTCGTTTATCCTTGGGATGTGGCAATAAAAGCAAGTAAGTAAATTATTTTGCAGCATATGCCTTTGATATTTGTATTAATCAAGATTTGTTTACTGGAACTTTGACATTATTGTTTGCTTAGAATTTGTATTGGATCTTAGTCTGTCACTTGTAGTTCTGATAGATTATTGTTGTTTTCCTTTCTAATGTAATTCATTAGTGTTGGAATTGTGCAAAACATAATTGGCCAGTATTGTTGGATGTGGATGGGTAACATGTAGTTAAGGCCAAGATGACCAATTGCTGGCTCCCTCCCTCCCTCCCTCCCCCTCTCTCTCTCTTGTGTTGTGGAGGATGGGGAATATCTCTTGATGTATAATGGCTTTATTTATGATTGTTTGCTGTTCTGTCCTGCACTCACCATATGCTGGAAGTACTCTTCCTGGGCAGATCTCTACATTTTGTGATTTAATTTTTCTGGCCTGCCTCGATGCCGGCCAGGAAAAGTGATCTTATTCATTGCTCCCAAATTATGTGCTTTTATATTCCACAAATCTTTGAGATGATATTTGTCAAGGGATTGAATATCTGAAATTCTCCCTGGGCTGTGCTCTTTATTTTCTGCCTCTGTTTTGGTGTTGTCCTGGCTATCAAAATCGTGCTTTTATTATGGCCACTCCTCCGCTTTGGTTTTTCTTGCTATTAGATTTGATTCTGATGAATCAATTAGTTCTATAAACTGAATGGAACTAATTTGTAGACTTTTTTTTTTATAATTTTATAATTTTATAATTTTTTTTATTTTTGAAGAGTTGTAGTAAATAGAAGCACATGCTCAGTATTATGTGCTAGAGGTTTTAAAGTGTCTTTTAATCAATGGTGTCAGGTTTTAGCTTGATAACGTTGTTAAAATCTGGGGCTTTTTCCTTTCTTCAACACAATTATGTTTTTCTTAAACATAATGTCAATCTTTGGTAAATTTTGCATTTATTAGGATCTCACAAGTTTCTATTGCAGTTTGCAATCATGGCTTTGGCACCAGAAGGGTCACAATTTGATGCTCGTCAGTATGATGCAAAGATGAGTGAATTGTAAGTGTTATCTCAGTCGAATGTTCCTTTTGCCTCTGGCTCACCTTTTATTTGTCCAGAGATAAATGGTTTTGTTTACAGTCTGTCGATACATTGGTTATTTCAGGCTTCAAGCTGATGGAGAGGATTTCTTTGCCTCATATGATGAGGTTTTTGAAAGTTTTGATTCGATGGGTCTTCAAGAGAACCTTCTTAGAGGCATTTATGCTTATGGTAAAAGTTCTTCATTCATGATAGTTTCTTTTGCTCCATGCTTTATTGGAATACCCTTTTATGGAGTGAGAGGATCTGCTGAACCTTTTCTTTCATTTTATAAGGTTTCGAAAAGCCTTCTGCTATCCAGCAGAGGGGGATTGTGCCATTCTGCAAGGGACTTGATGTGATTCAGCAGGCACAGTCGGGTACTGGGAAGACAGCTACTTTCTGCTCTGGAATTCTTCAACAGCTTGATTATGGCTTATTGGAATGCCAGGCTTTGGTTCTTGCTCCCACTCGAGAACTTGCACAACAGATTGAGAAGGTTATGCGTGCACTTGGTGATTATTTGGGTGTCAAAGTTCATGCTTGTGTTGGTGGAACCAGTGTTCGCGAGGATCAGCGCATCCTTTCGAGTGGGGTGCATGTTGTTGTTGGAACCCCAGGTCGTGTGTTTGACATGTTGCGAAGGCAGTCTCTCCGCCCTGATTACATCAAGATGTTTGTGCTTGATGAGGCTGATGAAATGCTCTCAAGGGGTTTCAAGGATCAGGTCTGTGCTTTTATCACTGTTAAATTACTTTTCTATTTTTTGTTTTAGTGATGATGATACTTCATGGTTCACTATTCAAAACTTCTTGTTTACTTACGCCGATGTTGACACCAACTTATAATAAATCATTTATCGTTTGTTCCAGCTTAGTCTCTTGACAATGTCCTGGTTTTTTGCATGCGTGTTCTTCACCAGTGCTGTCACATTCATGCCATCTGCTACATTTTGAGAGGCCAACTTATGTACCTCTTTCCCAGTACTTTTTGGTCTCTTTTTTTTTGGGGGTCTAGAAATTGGCGTTTTTTTTTCCTTTTAGGCCTCTTATTTCCTAATGTCTTAATGTTCTTGCATGGTTTGATATGTTTTGTCAAACTACCAGGGCTTCCTTATTCTGCTACGACTGCATTTCACATCATTTTCTGAGTGCATTGAGATTTCTGTTCTCAAATATATTCCTTCTAGGTTAAGACTGACTTCAATGAGTTCTTTGTTTTGTCCAAGGATATCATTGCTTCCTTGGAAACTTTATTGACCTATTTAATATGTTCCTTCTAGGTTAAGACCGACTTCAATGAATTCTTTGTTTTGTCTAAGGATATCATTGCTTCCTTGGAAACTTTATCGACCTATTTAGCATATGCATTTTCTAATTTTATTACATTTGCATTAATATTTTTGACTACTACTATCTAGCTCTTGCCTGAAATCTTTACATAGAAAATCAGTATCCTTTAGTCTAACTGAATATAGTTTAAATCATGTATCTTTTTTGTATTGTTACCCCGATGATTGAAAATAATGGTGCATTAGATGTTGCCATTATTATAGAGTTTTATGATGTTTCTATGGTTTCTTCCCCATCTCTGCAAAATGCTAATAATGTCATATTCCCTTGCTTGCATGCTGCTATACTGATTGTTGCAAGCTAGTTTACATTCAATATGTGATTGTATGACTTGGTGTCTACAGTTCATGTATGCACATGTTGCATATTCGTAGTTGTTCCTTGATATTTTTAGTTACCTACCATACTTTATGCAAGTTATGAGACTATTGATAGTTTGTGTATTCCATCTGTTACTGAGTAATGAATTTTCAGCTTTCTGAAACTAGTTTACCAATGTTTGGGACTGGAAAGGAGGTGTACTTAAACAGGCCACATGTTCCTCTTAATATTTGTGCACTCTTTTCATTGTTTTCCAAGAAGGAAAATGAACTACTTGCACAAAAACAAAGTGACAAAAAAATGGCAAACACTCTAGCGTTTTTTTCTGGGGTTCTCACTTTAGAAGTACATCCATGGGACTTGTAATGTTTAGATGTGGAAAACTATATTTCTTTTCTCATACAAAATGCATGTTTCTTCAGAAAAAGAGAGGAGAAAAATCATGTGCTTTGCAATTCATGAAACAAGTTTGCGGGGAGATATTGCTGTGTTTCACTCAATAGTCATGTGTTAGCCTTTTTAATGATTTAGTTAAATTTCATGATTTTTTTTCTTTTATGTGAAAACTTCTTGAAAAGATGATCAAAAGATCTCTAGAAAATTGTTGGCTAGCTTTTCCTTAAGTTTTCAATGATCCAGTTTTTATGATTTTTGAAAATTTTATGATATCTTGGAAGTAAACAATAATTACTATTTCTGATAATTGGTTTTTCTCCCCCAGATATATGACATTTTCCAGCTCCTCCCCTCAAAGGTCCAAGTGGGTGTCTTCTCAGCTACAATGCCCCCTGAGGCCCTTGAGATCACTCGCAAGTTCATGAACAAGCCTGTTCGAATCCTTGTCAAGCGTGACGAGCTCACCCTTGAGGGTATCAAGCAATTCTATGTGAACGTAGAGAGGGAGGAGTGGAAACTCGACACCCTTTGCGACCTTTACGAGACCCTAGCTATCACCCAGAGTGTGATTTTTGTCAACACTCGCCGCAAGGTCGACTGGCTCACCGACAAGATGCGCAGTCGTGACCACACTGTGTCTGCCACCCACGGAGACATGGACCAAAACACCAGGGACGTCATCATGCGAGAGTTTAGGTCTGGATCATCTCGTGTCCTCATCACCACTGATCTCCTGGCCCGTGGTATCGATGTGCAGCAGGTGTCCCTTGTTATAAACTATGATCTCCCTACTCAACCTGAGAACTACCTTCACCGTATTGGTCGTAGTGGTCGGTTTGGGAGGAAGGGTGTGGCCATTAACTTTGTCACTCGTGATGATGAGAGGATGCTCTTGGACATCCAGAGGTTCTACAATGTGGTCATTGAGGAGCTCCCCTCGAATGTTGCTGATCTGCTTTAAGGAAGTCGAGAACGGTATTTGGGCAATTGGTAAGTTGGGCTGTTTTTTCTCTCTATACTAATTATTGTTGTGGCTGGGTCTTGATCTTTTGGGTTGATATTACATGTAAGAGGTGGTAACAGACTATTTCAACTGTTTGTAAGAGTGGTGCATGCATGGTTAGTATATGCTTTGCATGGTAGCGTGTATTTGCAGGGAAACCCATTCTTGCAAATTTTGCAGAAGCTTTTTCTTTTCTTCTTTTCTTTTTTAGGTTATATCTTAATTTGTTTCTTATGGGAGCCATGTACTCTAGATTGGTACTCTTTTGGGCATGGTTTTTTCATGTTTTCCGTGAAAATAGAATGTTTTTTGAAGTCCAGTTTTGATCTCACTCTATCAACAACATATGCAGTGACTGTTAAAAGTCCATGTTGCTTGCATACAAGTGTGTAGATGGTTACTCATTGGTTTGGTAGTTTCAGAATCTGCAATCTGTGAAAGGCATTTTATCAGTCACGCATGTGCTTGCACAAGAAAAATTGACTCATGAATTCTTTCTAATGAGTTTTACATATACTCCAATCATGATATAGAGAAAGCGGTTGAATATGTTGCATTGAGAAAAAAATGTTCGTACATGATTTTCTGTTATATTTCAAAAGAAAAGGAAAATTTGTAAGCCTCATGATGTGTTGTTTTAATTTCCAGGTCAAATATTTCAACCACCCCCTCTAATAAAGTTCTGTGAAATTATTTTCCTTCATGCATGGATTTAGGCAATTCGTTTATGGTGTGTTTGGCCTTGGGGAGGAGTGGCATTGGAAGTTGTCTTCTCAAGATGCTGCTTTCACTTTTTGACATATGGTTTTCAATGTTAATGTTAAAGGTTTTCAATGATAAAGCCTTAAAGGAAGTCACAGCGTCCTAAAGTTGTTTAGCATTACCCACTTATCAAACATGTGCTGCAATGTGTGGAAGTGATGGCTGTAGAACCTGTTGTTTTAAAAAAATGTGTGCCATTAAAGTAACATATGGTAAGTGGGATCTAAAATAGTTGGAAAAAGGTTATGATGATAACCTATACTAATGGCTAATGATTTCCCCCTTTCTTGATCTGTTTCTTTTCATGTTTTTCTTAATTCACTAGAAACACTAAACCAACACAAAACCAGGCTTTACCAATGGGCAGAGCTTGGTGCAGCCAAAGCTAACCGGTGGCCGATTGCGTGAGTCGGCCAAGATACTTGGCTTGCCCTATGGGCGAGGTGATCTCCTGAATCTGCATAACACACCCTTGTATGTCGATCTTCTATAGATTGTTATTTACTCAAAATCGGTCAAATCGTGTGTTGGCCAGATCCTTTTTAAAAAGTATCGAGGGTATGTGCCCCATTACAAACACTTGGACAAATATTTCAATTTTTATTGATAATTTTAAAAAGAAAATTACATTATTAGAAACAATAAGAGAAGATAAATGAGCTTTACCCGTAGCTAACCACACTATTAGTTTCACGATAAAGATAAGAAACTTCACTAAAAATATGAGAAAAGGAGACCGGAAAAGGAGACCAAAAGAGTAGCTACAATATCTATGATATGCAACCAACCATAAAGAATGGAGTACCCAAAGGACCTTCTGATCTTTATTACACCGTCTAATCATGTATGAGAAAAGGAGACCGAAAGAGTAGCTACAATATCTATAATTTGCAACCAACCATAAAGAATGGAGTATCCGAAGGACCTTTCGAGTTTTATTACACCATCTCATCATGTTCATGGAATCTTTCAATCATGCAACTTAAACTTTAAGTTTTTAGCGATGAAAATCTTCAATCCACTAAAGAAAGCACTAAGCTTAGCAAAGTTTGCAGTTGCATTACCTATCGGACCAGCATAGGTAAATAAAACATTCCCAAAACAATATCGGACCAGCATAGGTAAATAAAACATTCTGAAAACAATCCCGCAACACTCCACCAATCCCAGCAAAGTTTGCAATCAGCATAGGTAAATAAAACATTCCCAAAACAATATCGGACCAGCATAGGTAAATAAAACATTCTGAAAACAATCCCGCAACACTCCACCAATCCCAGCAAAGTTTGCAATCAGCATAGGTAAATAAAACATTCCCAAAACAATCCCGCAACACTCCACCAGACCAGTTAGGTAAATAAAACATTCCCAAAACAATCCCGCAACACTCCACCAATCCCATCTAATCCAGGGTTACCCAAATGTTAGTACCAATAGAGAAAAGATTAACTTGATAATCCCGCAACACTCCACCAATCCCAGCTAACCCAGGGTTGCCCAAATGTTAGTACCAAGAGAGAAAAGATTAACCTGAGAAATACCCTAGCCCTACTTTGTAACTGAGATATGCCCCATCCCTCCTTTGTACCTAATAGCCATATATGCCCCATCCCTCCTTTGAACTGATAGCCACGACCCATCCTCCTTTGTAATTGATAGTCACGACCAAATTGAAAATTTGATGCCTATCAAAAGTCCTTTTATTTCTCTTATTCCAAACCTCCTAAAAAAGCACACCCTTTGCTATCTTCCAAATTATATTACCCGTCTTAGGTAGATGAGGTAGAGCTAAATGCGAGACAATCCCCTCCACAAATTAAGGAAGCTAAATGCGAGACAATTCCCTCCACAAATTGAGGAAGCACCAAATTTATCTCTAAAACACCAAACAAACAATGCCAAATTCTCATCGTGAAAGGGCAATGAATAAATAAATATGCACCTGATTCACCATCTGACTCGCATGGCAAACAAACATTTGACAATATCTTTTCCCTTTTGATCAAATTATCAATAGTCAAGACTTTCTTCTGAGAAGCTAGCCAAACAAAAACTTGAACTTTGTGGGAGGAATTGGCCACTTCCAAATTTGAAGGATATGAGGGCAAGACCATCTCCATCAGTCATGAAAGAAAAGATTATAACATGATTTGACAGAAAAACACTATCACTTTCAATCTGCCATATCATCTCATCTTCATCATTCTGTAAAATATAGGCCTTATCCAACAGCCCCATTAATGCACACCAATGAGACAACAACACATTATTCAATCAGCTATAAGTCAAATAAATATCCCATGAAAGCAAATCACCCGTTCTTTCTATCGCTTCACTTACCCTTAAGTTTGGCTTAGAAACAATTCTAAATAACTCTGGAAAAGCAAACTTAAGTGGATACTCCCCTTGCCACTTATGGTGCCAAAACAAAATTTGATTGCTACCGCTTAAATTCCATATAAAGTAACTCGAAATCATAGGCCTGCAATTAAAGATAGCTCTCCACACATGAGAGGTATCATTACCTCTTCCACCCTCAAGCCAAAAGTCATGTCTATCCATACCATGTTTTGATAATAAAACTTGGTATCACAATTGGTCCTCCAGATGGAGACTACGCCACCACCATTTGCACATCAAAGCTAGGTTAACCATTCTAATATTTCGAATACCCAAACCTCCTTCCCGCTTTGGAGTGCATATTTTATCCCATCTTAGCAAATGAAATTTCCTAGCCTCACCACTGGAACCCCATAGAAAGTCCCGTATCATCTTTTCAATTTTTTTTGCGATCGAAGCGGGTATATTAATCAAGGACATCTGATAACTCGGAAGGTTAGCCAAACATGACTTCAATAAAGTTAAAGTCCCGCCCAATGACAAATACTTATGCTTTCAAAGATCAAGTTTGAGTTGAACTCTTTCAAATACTTTATCACAGACAACAATGGAAAGTCTTTAATAAGAAATAGGCAAGGCGAGATATATAACAGGCAATGAACCAGTCTTACATACCATAACACTAGCCAGATTCGCTACCACCTCCTCTGAGCAATTTATAACAATCATAGAGACTTGTAAAAATTAACTTTCAGGCCCACACAAACTTCTAAAAATCTAACAATGTTCTTCACTCGCATAGACTTAGCATCACAAAAAATGAAAGCATCGTCTGCATATTGCAAATATGAGACATTAATACCTGAGGCAGAGATTTTAAAGCTTGTAAAATGACCCAGACTCTCTGCCCTACTCATCATCAAACTGAAACATTCAGCATAGATAGTAAATAAGAAGGAGACAGAGGATCCCCTTGACAAAGTCCTCTAAAGACTTTGAAAAAACCAATAAGACTCCTCCTAAATAACAAAACCAATAGGACTCCTCTTAAATAACAAGGCAGACGTCCTTTAGGTGTAGAATAAACCAGATGTCAAAAACCAGCAGCCTTGGGGATCGAACTCGAGACCACTTGACTAAAGAGGCATACGAAGACGAAGAGCTGCGTAAATAGGAATACTAAGGGTGGACTGCTAACTGGTATTGCCATTTTGCGTTTAGTGTTAAATATTGGAAGGGAGGTTATATGGTATATAACATTTTTTTTGGAAAAAGTTTATATACAAGTGCAAGGCTCTAAACAATCAAGATAGGGCGCTTCTCAAAAATTTAACTAGAATAGATTGCTATCCTCAAATTGATCAACTCGACCTCATGATGCATGGACGTGAGAAACAAAATGAATTTCAAGTTTTGAAAATAGTACATCTTGTAATGCATTTTTGGACAGTCAATTTTCAAGATTTTCTATTTTTCATAAATTTGCTCAATCTACGCTATTTTTGAAGCTTTAAATTTTATAATTAGAGATGGAAATATATTTTAAAGCTATCACTAAGATTTGCAGTATTGAAACCACATTTCTCGACACTATTTGAAGGTATACTTTACTTTGATTGTTAGAACCTCGGCTCTATACAAACCACTTGGTCTTTATTTTTATTTTTTAACTTGAACTCGTCCGAATAACTCGCATTGACGGAGATGTGAGTACCTTGGCCCGCTATTTTTTCAACCTTTATCAGACTGTTCCTTAAGGCTTTTCCTCCCCTATAGACCAGGGACCTTTTCATAGTTTTTACCCTATTTCGGAGTAGTTGGGTGGATGAGAACTTGCCCAGTCTAGTGTGCCTAGGGATAATGTCAATCAAAAGGAAACGTTACTTCTTTTAATTTTTGAAGAAAATGTTTAATTTGTCCGATGCAATAGTCAATTGTTTTCTGGTTTTTGGCTATTATTCCAACAAGCATCTGATCTCTCCATTGGGCAGATGTTGCCATAAAAATTGTTGACAGCCAACTTAAAACTCCATCACCGTCCGAGCACGTGTACGGGTCAGGTTTGAGGTTCAATATCTTTCACTCACCCAAAAAATAAAAAAAATAAAAAATAAAAAAAGCAAGGATGAAGTGTCTTAACACATTAATTGCTCGATTAAAGGCCGGGATAGCTGCATGCACCAGAAAAAGTTCTATGTACTCCTTATGATCAATGTT